TCCAAACAATTGTCAAGGGAGCTGTCCAGCATTCCAGGTGGCTTTGCAACAAGAAGAAACATTGCCACTCACCGCAGAAGGCCCAGGTTCGGACCCAGGCTCTGACAAGCTGATTCTCAACCTTCTGAGAATGTTCCTCTGTTACTCCAGATCCCTTCCTCAATTCTGCCTTTACTCAGATGACTGTCCTTAGCTTGACTAAGGATCCTGCCCTTTGCTACATGTTTGTAGATGCTTTGCTGGACCAGGGAAGCTCAGATGAGTCTTAAGCTGGCCAAACACTGATCAAAATCTAGCCCTTGCTTGTCCATCAGGTGAGGATCTCTTCAGGCGGCAATGTGCTTGTTGCTGCCTGGGGGAAGTCATTTAGCTGTTGTTCCCACTCCCCGGCAGACACTACCTCGGGACTTCTCAACAGTAAAAAATTCAAGATCTCTGCTGTACCCTTCAATGGAAGAGACAATTGGATTTTGCGCTTGTCATAAAATCCTTTCTTTCATTGAAGGACACAGCACCCACCCCCCTCTGGTTTTTATGTTGAGACCAGTTGATATTTATGTACTGCCTTGTGACTAACTATGCTGCCTCTAGGTTTTGGCCAGTAGCAGAAACCGCCCCTAGGCTGTTCTCCTGTTTTTGTGCTTAGTATCCTACTCCTGAAGGTGGCAATATATCCCAATGACCAGGGATTCAAGATTTATTGGTTCATCCAATTAGCACTCCTTTTCTTTATCTTTTCGCCCGAGTTGAGGTGGGTACAGGAAAGCCCTGGTACACCAACACTACACCGCCAACTAACCCCCTTTTGTAAGTTAAGGCTAGTCTTCAGTAACGTGATTTTTGCAAAGAGACAAACAAAAGAGCGCACCAGCCTAGCATATTATCCCAAGGATAGTTCAATAAAATTAGGGTACTCGCGCACAATCTGTGTAAAAAAAAAAAACGCATGTCAGGTTGCAGGCTCATGGTACAGTGGTAAATGACACCTGCAGAAACCTCCGATACCAAAGGGACGCTGTTCCAAGATCCAAGAAACAACTTCCGCGTTTCGGGAAACCCTCTTCCTCAGAGCCAAATGAGCAGGATCCCTCCATCAATTTAAAGCGGAGTTCCACTCAACCTATCAAAAAAGAAAAGTCAGCAGCTACAAAAACTGTAGCTGCTGACTTTTAAAAAACAGCCACTTACCTGTCCCTCGGTCCCGTGGTGTGTCCCCCGCAGCTGGTTTCACCGGCCATCCTGTATTCCAGGAAGCCGCCATCTTCAGTGTGGGCACCCGGCTGTGATAGCTTGCGGCTTCACAGCCGGGTACCCACTGCGCATGCGCAAGTAGCGCTGCGCTTCATGAGTGGTCCTGTAGTCTTCTGGGACCTGTCACGTGTCCCAAAAGACTACAGGGAGGGAGGACACCTTCCGATCGTCTAGGCCAGTGGTGGGCAACCTTTTTTTTTTTCAACTGAGCCAAATCTCGCCAAAACCACGATTGAAATTCATTTTGAGAGCCACATTTTTAAAACTGAAAATACATCCCCCATATAGTAATTCATCCCCCATAGTAATTCATCCCCCATATAGTAATTCATCCCCCCTATAGTAATTCATCCCCCATAGTAATTCATCCCCCATATAGTAATTCATAGTAATTCATCCCCCCTATAGTAATTCATCCCCCATAGTAATTCATCCCCCATAGTAATTCATCCCCCATATAGTAATTCATCCCCCATATAGTAATTCATCCCCCATATAGTAATTCATCCCCCATAGTCCCCCCATAGTAATTCATCCCCCATATAGTAATTCATCCCCCATAGTAATTCATCCCCCATAGTAATTCATCCCCCATATAGTAATTAATTAATTCATCCCCCACATAGTAATTCATCCCCCCTATAGTAATTCATTCTCCTTATTGTGTCAATTCACTTACCTTTGCTCCGCGCGTTCCTCTCGCCGTGTTCCCGCGCCGTTCCGGTCTTCAGGGCGGACTGTGAGAGGAGAGGAGTTCGTCACGCTGCCCCGCCTACATCCTGACAGCCAATGTTTGCCATGTTCCGCGGGCCGGATTAAAAGGTCCGCCGGGCCGTAGTTTGCCCATTGCTGGGCTAGCTGCAGAGTCCTGACTTTTGGGGCGGCCACCCGAGAGGAGGGAGGGGAGCGGGCGCCCGGCACAGAGAAGAGCCGCATTGAAGTGTGTAAAGAGCCGCATGTGGCTCGCGAGCCGCGGCTTGCCGACCACTGGTCTAGGCGATCAGACTGGAAGTGGGATTGGATACCTGTCAAATTCGGTTACCCGCACCCCAAAGGTGCCAATCCTTAATGGGGAGCGGTCCTTAAAGTGGACCTTCCCCTTTTGGGTGGAGCTCCGCTTTAAACACCCTACTCACCATAATATGAGAGCCAGAGACTCCTCCCCTATAGCAAGTGTTGGGCAGGTATACCACGGTCATAAAACCGTACCCTAAAAAGTTCACCAATATATTGTGCAGGGAATTACATGCAATCATACATATATCAATAAAAATACACATAGTGAAAAGAAAACCTTTCTCTAGCCTCCTATACTTGTGTTTCACCTGTTTGTATACTGAGCTACTGTATAGCCACGCATTTCTTAGGGTATGGTTTTGTGACCTTGGTATACCTGCCCACCCCTTGCTAAAGGGGAGGAGTCTCTGACTCATGTTATGGTCAGTAGGGTATTTAAGTTGATGGAGGGATCCTGCTCATTTGGCTCTGAAGAAGAGGGTTTCTTTTGAAATGTGTAAGCCATTTCTTGGATCCTGGATGGCGTCCCTTTGGCGTCTGAGGTTTCTTCGGGTCTCATTAGGCTGCAACCTGATATATGCATTTTTTTTACACATTTTTTTTGTGAGTATGTTTTCACCCTAATTTTATTTGAGTATCCTTAGGATAGTGCGCTTGGCTGGTGCGCTCTTTCTTTGTCTCTTTGCAGTTGTTATCTGGACTACCCTGACCGTTCGAGGGCAGTAAGGCCTGACTCATCCCTTAATTGTGTTTCTTAACATACACATAAGAGTGCTGTTCCTTGTCCTCCACATGTATGCTCAGGAGCAGGAGCGGACTGACCATTTGGAAACTCTGGCACTGCCCGAGGGCCCGGGGTCAGTAGGGGGCCCCATGAGATACCCCTGTTACCTTTTTCATAGGCTTTTTTGAGTTTGGGCAAGGACACAGGGGCCCATGATCCCCTATTGCCTGGGGCCCCATGAGTTGTCAGTCCGCCCCTGCTCAGGAGGTTTGATACTTTGCTGTAAAATATTTTTTTATTTTATTATCTCTTGCAGGAATATGTCAGAAAGACGGTGGTGGATGATTTCCAGGAGGATTATGTAGTAGATCTGGACCAAAAAATTGAAGGGTTTGTACTGACATGATCCTTCTACCTCCCTCTAATGCAAGTCAAGACCCCAAGTGCAACTGCGATAGTGATGTCTGAAGCAAATTAATCTCTATAATCATAGCACAGTGGCTAAGTGGTTAGCATTTCCGCCTGGCAGCACTGGGTCAGCACTAGGGTCATTGGTTCGAATCTGATTGCCCCTGCACAACCTCAACCAAACGTTTCTGTTGCCAGATCAGACCTGCACAACGATCTGGAGTAATTTTGGACCACTCCTCTTCACAAAACTGTTTCAGTGTAGCAATATTCTTGGGATGTCTGGTGAATCCCAACCATGGCACCACCTGCTTGGAGTTTGCATGGTAATCTGGTTTCCTCCCACACTCCAAAAACAAAGCATGCTGGCTAGGTTTTAATTGGATCCTGTCTAAATTGTCCCTATGTATGTGTATGTATGAATGTGAGTTAGAGACCTTTGAGGGTTAGGGACTGATGTGAATGCAATACATCTCTCTCTATCTATATCTATCTATCTATCTATCTAGATAGATAGATTCTATTATCTATCTATTATCTATGCTATCTGCATGTGCTCTTGCATCAATTTACAGGACGACCACGCCTAGGAGAGAGTAGCAACAGTGCTATATAACTATATCCATTTATATAGATATCTGTATAATACCGTGGACACATGAACCCTTTTGTAACCCTTTCCAGCTTCATGCAAAGGAACAATTCTTGATTAAGGTCTTCTGAGAGCTCTTTTCTGCGAGGCATGGTTCACATCAGCAGTGCCTCTGATTTCCCAAAACAATGTGTATTTTTTAAGGGCAGGACACAGCTTAGTAGATTGTCAAGGTGGCTCACTCCTGTGCCTCTGGGATTTAAGCCTAGGGCTTCAAACTTTTTCCTCCCTGCACTGTGAGCTGTTATGTGCAATTAAACCATGTGTGGTTTGTGTAGTATTATGTTCTGTGACTTAGATGACGTTCAGAGCTCATTTTATGCCCAATTCATGCAAAACTCCACGTAATCCCCAAGGGGTTCACATACTTTTTCTTGCAACTGTATATATATATATAGATTCCTTCAAATTATTAATGAGCTGGGCTGCTGCCTCTGATTTTCCCAATGAGCTTAGTAGGTGTGTGTGTGTGGTCGCTGCCTCTGATTTCCAAATGAGCTTAATGAGTTTCGCTGCCTCTGATTTCCCAATGAGTTTAGTAGCGGTGTGTGTATGTGGTTGGGGTTGAGAAGGGGAAATCATTTCTTGAGTGATCCAGAGATGAAGATGGTGTGTCCATATGTGTAACTTTCTCTTCAACTCCCCAGAAATCATATGTTCCCTGTAAAAGCCATGTACAACCTGGAGGACGATGAGAGCCAGGGCATAGTCGTGATTAATCTCCTCCCACTTCTGTCACATGACTTCGCCAATAAAGGTGCCGTACACACATCAGAGGGTCGGTGAGTTCCGGTGTCGCTCAATAATTTAGATTTTTCTTTTATAGTGATCCCTCTTCAGTGTGTGTGTGAAAATTCATTGCATGCGTGTTTCCACAGCCTCGTGTCTCCTCTCTGTCTGTCACCATTTTTCCGTTTACTGCGGCTCTGCATAGAGGACGAGTATAACGGCAACTTGGATGAGATCGATGCTTTGTTAGGTACTTTTCCTTTTTTCTTTTTTTTTCTTTTTTTTTTTTTGTGGTGTGTGTGGTTCAAATTTTTTCATTGTAGGCTGGATGAAGTACATTTGTAATCTGCGATCGTTCCTGTTTGGCGTATTTTTCCTTGTTTTATATTACATTATCGTATTCTGTAGTGTATATAACATAATATACATAAACATTGATAACCAGTAGGTGTGTAATAACTGGGTGTTTCTGTTTCCAGGGTGCCCCGTGTATCTCACGGACCTTGATGTCATAGACAAGATGAATTCCCTGTCCAGACAAGAGCGAGAATTCCTGTGCTCGCTGCTTTTCTTCAACATTAATTGGTTCAGAGAGGTGATTCATTGGTTTATAAATCTCTGATACTTGTAATTTTTTTTGTTTTTTTTTGCTGTACAAGGTGTGACACCGACCTAGTCTCCTTTTAGGTTATCAATGCTTTCTGCATGCAACCAAATGCTGATATGAAGGGAAAAGTGTTAACACGACTACAGAACATCACATGGCTGCAGTCTTTGCTGGAGAAGTGCCTTGCAGGTAATTATTTCTATTGCAGGTAGCATTCCTGATTATTTTGTCACCTGTAGAGACACAATAGCTACATACTGTAACGGGTCATAAAAAAGGGACAAGCTGGGGTTGTGTGAAGAGTGGGTGCTGCAATATGGAATGATCCAAAATTAGAAGGCATGGGACTTGTAGGTTGAACCTTTCCCGTCCTGACATACATTGTTTCAATACATACAGCCCACAATCTCTGTTGTCCACGTGAGTGACACCAGCATGCTTTGTGGCTGTAAGCCACACACAACTTTGTGATCTGTGCAGTCCTATCATCTTGGTACAGTATTTGGGCAAAGCGTGGAGGAAGAGCAGGAAAGTGTTTGATATGAAGGAGCATTTAGAACTCAAGCCTGCAGCCTTGATCTACAGTGTGGAAGGGCTGTTGTAGTTCTCCCACCTCATTTCCCATATGAGTCTCCTGTCAGTAAACATGAGAAGGACTCTGGCTACAGTGTTGGGCTGTGGAGGGAAGTGCCAAAGGGCACTCTCTTCTAATGACCATCAAGGGACAACTGCTCTTCTGGGCTGCACTTGTTGCTGACACCAGTACTCCTCCACAAAAGAAGCCTAAGGCTCAGTCTGGGAAGATCCTTTGCAGAGTTCAAGAAAAGACCTTTTCATTACACCACAATCTTAAATTCATACGCAAGTCAGTTGCCCAGTCTGCCTGCAAGCCTTAGAATTCCAAATCCCCCGAACAATAAGACTCCTTGGCTAAAGTATTGGACTTTGGAGGCCTTGCCCAAAAGGCTTTTGCTTCAAATGACCTTTAGGGGACAACGGCACTTTTGGGCTGCCCTTGCTGCTCTCATAAGGGATGCCACCAATAGTCCTCTGCAAAAGAAGGCTCAGTCTGGGAAGACCCCTCACAGAAGATCGAGAAAATCCCTTGGCATTACTTCACATTCTCTAACCCCAAATTCATACACAAGTCTGGCACGCAGTCTGCCTGCTAGCCTTGGAATTCCTACTTTCCAAAATGGGGTGTCATCTGTTAGTCTTTGTGGACACTTGGAGAGCCTATATCTCAGTTGCGGAAGGTGGTTTCCAGGGACTACACCAGCCATTCTCAACCAGGGGTCCATAGAAGTTCTGGAGGTTACTAGGAGTGCCATGGGTTGTGGCTGATTGCCTCCCATTTGATGGTGCTTGTAGTTCCAAGGCCAATGCCACATGGCAAAGCCATCAGTATGATTCCATTGATTTCTTTTAGCTGCCGGTAAGGGGGGCATCCTGGCAAAAACTGTTAGGGTTGCAATATTCCTATTAACCACCAACATAAAGAGCATTTTCCCCATTGGACCACAATAAATTGGTTTTAGCAGGGGTTCCCCAGGACCTCAAGAATATTTTAGGGATTCCTCTGTGGTAAAGATTGAGAGAGGCTGGATTACAAGGTAGAATTTCACTCCCGGCCCACTCCCCTGTTCATCGCTTCCAGCCTGTTTGTGTGACAGCACAGATTAGCAGAAGTCCTAGATAGAGTCCTTGCAGGTGAATCAATGTGGCATTGGCCCAAAGTCCTTTGGCAGACTGGTTCCAAAAGTTCTTCTCCAAATGGTTCACAGTCCTCAAACCTCCTATGTTCCTCAATGAACAAGAAACGAAACAGGCTTTCTCTCTCACTTATTACGAGACACATCTTGATCACAATTGCCAACGGGAAAACATAGACAACAACGCCATTCTAAAACCTCAAGATCCTCCCAAAAGAAGTATGTTATTCAAATGAACGCCATTATAGTTACAAAATAGTCTTTGCAAAATGTATTGATAAATACAGTATTTCCTAAATTCACTTTGATTTTGCTATTCCCCCTCCCATCTAACACACTGCCGGTTTAAGGATAAAAGCTCGACTTTACCCAAAAACTACCTTTACAGGTAAGGGACACTTGTAGATAGAAACACACTGTGCAGCTTTGACCAAACTTGAATAATATTTATTTTTATTTATTTATTATAGGTACTTATATAGCGCCGTCAATTTACGCAGCGCTTTACATATATATTGTACATTCACACATTCACATCAGTCCCTAACCCTCAAGGGGCGTACAATCTAAGGTCCCTAACCCTCAAGGGGTGTACAATCTAAGGTCCCTAACCCTCAAGGGTGTACAATCTAAGGTCCCTAACCCTCAAGGGGTGTACAATCTAAGGTCCCTAACCCTCAAGGGACGTACAATCTAAGGTCCCTAACCCTCAAGGGGCGTACAATCTAAGGTCCCTAACCCTCAAGGGACGTACAATCTAAGGTCCCTAACCCTCAAGGGGCGTACAATCTAAGGTCCCTAACCCTCAAGGGGCGTACAATCTAAGGTCCCTAACCCTCAAGGGGCGTACAATCTAAGGTCCCTAACCCTCAAGGGGCGTACAATCTAAGGTCCCTAACCCTCAAGGGGCGTACAGTCTAAGGTCCCTAACCCTCAAGGGGCGTACAGTCTAAGGTCCCTAACTCACATTCATACATACACATACTAGGGCCAATTTAGACAGGAGCCAATTCACCTGCCAGCATGTCTTTGGAGTGTTGGAGGAAACCAGAGTACCCCGAGGAAACCCATGCAGGCACAGGGAGAACATGCAAACTCCAGGCAGGTAGTGCTGTGGTTGGGATTCGAACCGACGACCCGAGTACTGCCAGGCAGAAGTGCGAACCATGCTGCCCACATAATAATACCTTTGCTTTGGGTGTAAGCCATCTCCTGGGTTCCTCAATGGACTCCCAAGAGAAGAATTTTACAGTGAGTACAAAAATCCTATTTTGGATATTAACCCCTTGACGCCAAGCGCACGCAAATATGCAAACTTTCGGCATCTGGGCCTTGACGACGAGCGGCCGCATATTCGCGTGCAATTAGAAAATACATATGTGCTGAGAACGCGCGCCCTGCACGCTCCCAGCACATATATCCGTGACTCACGGAAAGGTCCCGATCACCCCTTTCGATCAGGACCTTTTCCGATCATGTGACAGTGAATCACGGCGGTCACATGACCCTAAAACCCTGCCTGCCTCCCGGCTTCTGAAACTCTTAAAGGGCCGAGAGGCACCGGCGCGAAGTGGTTAAGCAATTTTAGTTCTCTGTTATTGCGATGTATTGATATGTAGCACGTATTGCTTTATTTTCTAGGTGAATGTCCTACAGTTTGCATTGATTTACATTATTCTTCCAGAATCTCCCGGATATATCCCCCCACCCGCAAACTTTGACTGTGAGCAACAAGAAGTCCCACCAAGCGCAGTAGCAGCTGCCCCTGCAAAGAAGGCAAAGAAAGGTACTGCTTGCAGTGTATGTAGGGAATGTGCTGTCATGTACATGGTTGGGGTAAGTGCTGTGATGTCCATGGTTTGGGAAAGTGCTGTCATGTCCATGGTTGGGGTAAGTGCTGTCATGTCCATGGTTGGGGTAAGTGCTGTGATGTCCATGGTTGGGGTAAGTGCTGTCATGTCCATGGTTGGGGTAAGTGCTGTCATGTCCATGGTTGGGGTAAGTGCTGTGATGATGTCCATGGTTGGGGTAAGTGCTGTGACGTACATGGTTGGGGTAAGTGCTGTGACGTACATGGTTGGGGTAAGTGCTGTGACGTCCATGGTTGGGGTAAGTGCTGTCATGTCCATGGTTGGGGTAAGTGCTGTGACGTACATGGTTGGGGTAAGTGCTGTCATGTCCATGGTTGGGGTAAGTGCTGTGACATACATGGTTGGGGTAAGTGCTGCCATGTACATGGTTGGGGTAAGTGCTGCCATGTCCATGGTTGGGGTATGTGCTGTGACGTCCATGGTTGGTGAAAGTGCTGTGAGGTCCATGGTTTGGGTAAGTGCTGTGATGTCCATGGTTGGGGTAAGTGCTGTGAAATCCATGGTTGGGGAAAGTGCTGTGACGTACATGGTTGGGGAAAGTGCTGTGACGTCCATGGTTGGGGTAAGTGCTGTGACGTCCATGGTTGGGGTAAGTGCTGTGACGTCCATGGTTGGGGTAAGTGCTGTGACGTCCATGGTTGGGGTAAGTGCTGTGACGTCCATGGTTGGGGTAAGTGCTGTCATGTCCATGGTTGGGGTAAGTGCTGTGACGTCCATGGTTGGGGTATGTGCTGTGACGTCCATAATTTGGGGTAAGTGCTGTCATGTCCATGGTTGGGGTAAGTGCTGTCATGTCCATGGTTGGGGTAAGTGCTGTCATGTCCATGGTTGGGGTAAGTGCTGTCATGTCCATGGTTGGGGTAAGTGCTGTCATGTCCATGGTTGGGGTAAGTGCTGTCATGTCCATGGTTGGGGTAAGTGCTGTCATGTCCATGGTTGGGGTAAGTGCTGTCATGTCCATGGTTGGGGTAAGTGCTGTCATGTCCATGGTTGGGGTAAGTGCTGTCATGTAATCGCATCAGGCTTTAGTCCTTGCGGCTTCACGACTGGGTGCCCACTGCGCATGCGCCAGAAGAGCTGCGCTTTGTGAATGGCCTCGTAGTCTTCTGGGACCTGTCACATGTCCCAGAAGACTACAGGGAGGAAGGGTAGGAGGACAACTTCTGCTTCCGATTGCCTAGGTGATCGTAGCGGAAGTGGGAGCGGGTACCTGTCAAATTCGGTTACCCCCCGCTCCCCAAAGGTGCCAATCCTTAATGGGGAGCGGGGGACAAAGGCTTAAAGCGGAACTTCCCCTTTTGGGCGGAGCTCCGCTTCGCTTTAACTTTTCCAGTACTTCATTGGAAGTCATCATTTATTTTATTGTGCTAATTCGGTCCGTACTGATGTGTTTATGACCAAGAGGACTAGGCTTTAGGGCCACTGTAAAGGTTTTTTTTTCTTTAGTTAAAACAATTCCACTTCTGTTTTGCATCCCACAGGTAAAAAGCGCAAAATGGGAGACACTAAGAACTCCTCTGCAGAAAGTTCCCAGTTAGAAGAGCAGATGGACACCGAGGCGGAGAAGACTCAGCCAGACAAGGTGGAAATCCAGTGCTTGGTATTGTGGTCCTCCTGGAAGAGTCACTTCGCACAGTCATCATCATCTTCCTTTAGGTTTACCACTTTCCAGTCACAGCTCCAGGGCTTCTCTCATGCAAACTCCTTTCCGCTAGTTGTCACTATCCTTCAGGTCAACCTCTTGACAAACAGCAACTTACCTGTTCGTCGCTGAACTTCAAGTGGTTATACCGGGATGATGCCTTCAGCTACAGGCATCATCCCGGTACCATTTTTCAGAGCCGACGGTTGTAAAAACAACCCAAGCAGTTAACTAGCCGCTGGATTGCTATTACAATCATCGGGAGGGGATGGTCTCCCCTCCTGCCTCCTTCATAGGCCCAAACAAAGATATAGGGAACCAGAAGCGATGACCTTACATCACTTCTGGTTTACCCGGATGTATACGGTGCCATTTTTAAAGTGTTACTAAACCCAGGACCCTCCATGCACTATATCCGCTCTCCCCAGACCCCGCATTCACTATATCTGGTCTCCTCGGACCCCGCATTCACTATATCTGGTCTCCCCAAACCCCGCATTCACTATATCCGCTCTCCCTGGACCCTGCATTCACTATATCCGCTCTCCCTGGACCCTGCATTCACTATATCCGCTCTCCCCAGACCCCGCATTCACTATATCTGGTCTCCTCGGACCCCGCATTCACTATATCTGGTCTCCCCAAACCCCGCATTCACTATATCCGCTCTCCCTGGACCCTGCATTCACTATATCCGCTCTCCCTGGACCCTGCATTCACTATATCCGCTCTCCCAGGACCCTGCATTCACTATATCCGCTCTCCCCGGACCCCGCATTCACTATATCCTCTCTCCCCGGACCCCGCATTCACTATATCCGCTCTCCCCGGACCCTGCATTCACTATATCCGCTCTCCCCGGACCCCGCATTCACTATATCCGCTCTCCCCGGACCCTGCATTCACTATATCCTCTCTCCCCGGACCCCGCATTCACTATATCTGGTCTCCTCGGACCCCGCATTCACTATATCCGCTCTCCCCGGACCCTGCATTCACTATATCCTCTCTCCCCGGACCCTGCATTCACTATATCCGCTCTCCCCGGACCCCGCATTCACTATATCCGCTCTCCCCGGACCCTGAATTCACTATATCTGGTCTCCCCGGACCCCACATTCACTATATCCGCTCTCCCCGGACCCTGCATTCACTATATCCGCTCTCCCCGGACCCTGCATTCACTATATTCGCTCTCCCCGGACCCTGCATTCACTATATCTGGTCTCCCCGGACCCCGCATTCACTATATCCGCTCTCCCCGAACCCCGCATTCACTATATCTGCTCTCCCCGGACCCTGCATTCACTATATCCGCTCTCCCCGGACCCCGCATTCACTATATCCGCTCTCCCCGACCCTGCATTCACTATATCCGCTCTCCCCGGACCCTGCATTCACTATATCCGCTCTCCCCGGACCCCGCATTTACTATATCAGGTCTCCCCGGACCCCGCATTCACTATATCCGCTCTCCCCGGACCCCGCATTCACTATATCCGCTCTCCCCGGACCCCGCATTCACTATATCTGGTCTCCCCGGACCCTGCATTCACTATATTCGCTCTCCCCGGACCCTGCATTCACTATATCTGCTCTCCCCGGACCCCGCATTCACTATATCCGCTCTCCCCGTGTTCCTGTATTCACTATATCCGCTCTCCCCGGACCCTGCATTCACTATATCCGGTCTCCCACAGTACACAAAACATGGAAATGCAATTATTTTAGTAAATATAAACTGATAAATACCTTTTCTCATCAGCAGTATATAGCAAACTTGTGGCTTCTATCAGTGTTCAACCAAGAACTAGCTATAGCTTGTAGGAGGAGTTTTCTTTCTGCTCTAGGAGGATGCAAAACCCCTGACCTCTGTCTGACCAGTGCTGATGGGCCCTGTGCTGAGCACATGCACTCGCCCAAGAAAAAAAAAAAACTTCTCTAGCAATACACACTAAACTGAGCATGTGCAAAATGCCTACGGTTCAGTCTGTCTTATCAGGAGATAAGAGGTGGTCGCTTGAAAAAGGGGAGGAACAGAGAAGACCGGATCAAAGGGCCTTTTTTTTACACAATGCAGAGGATTAACCCCTTAGGTTCCACAGTGAGTATAACAAGCATGCTTTACTGCATCTACAGACTGATTGTACTGTGGTGGGTTTAGTAAAGCAGTGTGCTTACAATGAAGCACAAACACCTCCCCCCCCCCCCATAGTAAAACATTCCCAGCACACAGTTAACCCTTTGATCGCCCCACATGTTAACCACTTCCTGCCTAGTGCCATTAGTACAGTGTCAGTGCTTTTGATTAGCACTGATCACTGTATTGGTGTCACTGGGATTTTTTTTAGTAAAGACATGGAGCAGAATACATTTTGGCCAAAATTTATGATGAAATTTGAGTTTTTTTAATTTTTTTTACTGGACATCTTTAACCACTTGCTGTCCGGCTGCTGTATATAAACAGCCGGACGGTGGCAGTCCAAGGGCGGGTTGCCGTTCATAAACGCGCCCGCCATGTTTGACTGGGAGCTTGCAGCGCCGCAATCGGACACAGTGAGGTCCCGATCATGTGATCAGCGATTGGCCAATCAGTGATCACATGCAGAGTAGAAAGCAAGATGTCACTTCTGACATCATTGCTTACTACTTGTGAAATCTATGAATGATCACAGAGGTCACATGGTACAGGGCTATTCACAACAGCCTTGTACCATGTGACAAGCTGTGACCAATCACAGCTCACACAGTATTTCTCAATGGCTACAAGAATGCAGCCAGAGAGGAGAAATGATTGCTTTTATAGCCTTCATGGGTGTAAAAGCAATCGGTGTAAAAAAAAAATCTTCATCACCCCCCACAAGTAGTACAGTGTCACCATGGTGACACTGTATTGCTAGGGTGACAGTATGTAAAAAAATACCCCATAAATAATAATATAAAAATGTAAAAAAAAATTTAAAAAAATTATAATTTTTGGTTATAAACAAACTAATTTGGGTTGTTATTTTTTTTTTACTAAAAAGATAACGGAATAAATTTTGGGCAAGATTTATGATGAAATATTATTTATTTGCAAATTTTTATAAGAAAAAACACTTTTTTTTCAACATTTTTATTCATTTATATAGCAAAAAAAATAAAAATCCCAGTGGTGAATAAATACCACCAAATTAAAGTTTTATCTGTCTCAAAAAAATGCAAAAAAATTAATATGGGTACAGTGTTGCATGACCGCGCAATTGTCATTCAAAGTGTGATAGCGCTGAAAGCTGAAAATTGGCCTGGACAGGAAGGGGGGGGGGGGAGGTGGAAAGTGTCCGGACTAGAAGGGGGGGAAAGCGTCCGGACTGGAAGGGGTGGAAAGCGTCCGGACTGGAAGGGGTGGAAAGCGTCCGGACTGGAAGGGGGGGAAAGCGTCCGGACTGGAAGGGGGGGAAAGTGTCCGGACTGGAAGGGGTGGAAAGCGTCCGGACTGGAAGGGGTGGAAAGCGTCCGGACTGGAAGGGGTGGAAAGCGTCCGGACTGGAAGGGGTGGAAAGCGTCCGGACTGGAAGGGGGGGGGGAAAGCGTCCGGACTGGAAGGGGGGGAAAGCGTCCGGACTGGAAGGGGGGGAAAGCGTCCGGACTGGAAGGGGGGGAAAGCGTCCGGACTGGAAGGGGGGGGAAAGCCTCCGGACTGGAAGGGGGTGAAAGCCTCCGGACTGGAAGGGGGTGAAAGTGTCCGGACTGGAAGGGGTGAAAGTGTCCGGACTGGAAGAGGGTGAAAAGTGTCCGGACTGGAAGAGGGTGAAAGTGTCCGGACTGGAAGGGGGTGAAAGTGTCCGGACTGGAAGAGGGTGAAAGTGTCCGGACTGGAAGGGGGGGAAAGTGTCCGGACTGGAAGGGGGTGAAAGCGTCCGGACTGGAAGGAGGTGAAAGCGTCCGGACTGGAAGGGGGTGAAAGCGTCCGGACTGGAAGGGGGTGAAAGCGTCCGGACTGGAAGGGGGGGAAAGCGTCCGGACTGGAAGGGGGTGAAAGCGTCCGGACTGGAAGGGGGTGAAAGCGTCCGGACTGGAAGGGGGTGAAAGCGTCCGGACTGGAAGGGGGTGAAAGTGTCCGGACTGGAAGTGGTTAATAGCAAAAAGCCAAAAATATTGTTTTTTTTTCTCTCAAATTTGTCGGTCTTGTTTTTTTTTTAATAGCACAAAAAATAAAAAACACACAGGCGATCAAGTGCCACCAAAAGAAATCTCTATTTGTGGGGGAAAAAAAGCACATACATTTAATTTAGGTGCAGCGTTGCATGACCACGCAATTGTTAGTTAAAGTAATGCAGCGCAGTAATGCAAAAAATGTCCTGGTCAGGAAAGGGGGGAAATCCTCAGCAGGGCGAGTGGTTAAAGCAAACTCCAGCAGACATAAGAGCTCAGGCTGGGGGAGAGGCACCAGTGAGTTGTGCTAGCAAGGATCATACTGATAGGACTAGAGAGCAGAGTGACGGAGAAGAGCCCCACCAATCTGCTGCTTCTCTTATTACTGTCCATACACAGACGGAGGTGGGACAATACCTGTAAGGTCCACATGGCTTCACCCCGTACAAGGAGCTTTTTGGAAAGTATTTGTTGAAGCTGTTTCCATTCAGCTGGAGTTTGGAAATGCTAAACACGGATCTTAACGGGAGAGCGGATTGTCCCGTATATTTGTATGTTGTAGCTTTGTTTGTACAGCTTGTGTATGTCCTGCCTTTGTGTCATTCTGCAGAAAGTTAATGTTAATGAGGCAATAATCAGTAACGGCTCCACGTATAATAAATGTGTGTTTTCTACAAGGAACCTGAAGAGATTGGTAAACCTTCCGTCGACCTGAGCAGCTTCCGTCCGTTCTTCCGAGAGCTGGATCTGGAGGTCTTCACTGGTTCTCCATAGCGGCCTGCTAACTCGCTCTCTCCTAGACTCTGAAATGTGCACTAAGGTAGGGAGCACTGCTACTGAACAATATTATTTATTTCAGGTACTTATATAGCGCCGTCAATGTACGCTGCGCTTTACATATATATTGTACATTCACATCAGTCCCCAACCCTCAAGGGGCGTACAGTCTAAGGTCCCCAACCCTCAAGGGGCGTACAATCTAAGGTCCCCAACCCTCAAGGGGCGTACAATCTAAGGTCCCCAACCCTCAAGGGGCGTACAATCTGAGGTCCTAAGGGGTGTACAATCTAAGGTCCCTAACCCTCAAGGGGCATACAATCTGAGGTCCTTAACCCTCAAGGGGTGTACAATCTAAGGTCCCCAACCCTCAAGGGGCATACAATCTAAGGTCCCTAACCCTCAAGGGGCGTACAATCTAAGGTCCCCAACCCTCAAGGGGCGTACAATCTGAGGTCCTTAACCCTCAAGGGGTGTACAATCTAAGGTCCCTAACCCTCAAGGGGCGTACAATCTAGGTCCTTAACCCTCAAGGGGTGTACAATCTAAGGTCCCCAACCCTCAAGGGGCGTACAATCTGAGGTCCCTTAACCCTCAAGGGGTGTACAATCTAAGGTCCCTAACCCTCAAGAGGCGTACAATCTGAGGTCCCTAACCCTCAAGGGGCGTACAATCTAAGGTCCCTAACCCTCAAGGGGCGTACAATCTGAGGTCCCTAACCCTCAAGGGGCGTACAATCTAAGGTCCCTAACCCTCAAGGGCGTACAATCTAAGGTCCCTAACCCTCAAGGGGCGTACAATCTAAGGTCCCTAACCCTCAAGGGGCGTACAATCTAAGGTCCCTAACCCTCAAGGGGCGTACAATCTAAGGTCCCTAACCCTCAAGGGGTGTACAATCTAAGGTCCCTAACCCTCAAGGGGCGTACAATCTAATGTCCCTAACTCCCATTGATACATACACATACTAGGGACAATTTCGACAGGATCCAATTCACCTACCAGCATGTCTTTGGGGTGTGGGAGGAAATCTGAAGCCCACGCAGGCACAGGGAGAACATGCAAACTCCAGGCAGGTGGTGCCGTGATTGGGATTCGAACTGACAACCGTAGTACTGCCAGGCGGAAGTGTTAACGATTTAGTCACTGTGCTGCCCAATATAGGATAAAAGTGACAAGTTCTCTTTATGGCCTGCTTGTTCTGCTGCTAATACAGAGTGAGCAAAGTGACAGGTTCACTTTAACCACTTCCCGTCTGGCCCCATGTATATAAACGGTTGAACAGGAGCATTGCAGGAGCGGGTGACCGTTTATAAGCATCCTCCACACTTCCCTGCCCGTGCGCACTCCCTAGGAGCGGAACACCGATCACTGTACGGGACCTCTGTAGGCAGGTAAGAGCAGGTAAGTATGAACCTATTTGTTTTTTTGTAAATGGGAATTTACAATCACTTTTTAACCACTTGCTGTCCGGCCGCTGTATATAAACGGCCGAACGGTGGCAGTCCAGGGGCAGGTTGCCGTTCATAATTGGCGCCCACCATTTTGGATTGTGCACGCTCCCTGGGAGCGCGCAGCACCGCCCACTATGTCCTCCGGAGACTGTGGCACACCGATCACTGTATGGGACCTCTGTGTGAGGTCCCGATCATGTGATCACTGATTGGCCAATCAGTGATCACATGAATAGTAGGAAGCAAGATGTCACTTCTGACATCATTGCTT